TTGCGACTACATGGGAAACTCGTTTCTCCAATTCGCGGGTTGAGGGTGCACGAACTCGCCAGCTTCTGGTCTTGGTGCGGCTTGCTCCAAGTCCTGTACACGGGAATGAATGAAGTGCCCGTGTAGCATCCTCGTGCAGATCCTTGTGGTTCTGCACTGTCCGTCAGAGATTCGCCAGTTCCTGGTGTTGTTTCTCTAACTCGGACTGCAGGTGGTTACAAGTGTAAACCAACCGGGTCACGAGTTTGGAGAGGAACTCCTTGTGCTGCTCTTCCGGTGTCGCATCGTCGTCGTCCTCAGCTGGTTCAAGATGCCAGAAATTGAGCCTTTCGACCCTGGCGGCTTCATGCCGTTGTAGCAGATCCTGGGCCTCCTTGCGGCGTGCCTGGGTATCTAAGTCTGCTTCGGCCTGATTCCGCTGCTTTTCAGCTGCTGCCTCTGCTTCAGCCTGTAGGCGGGCTGCCTCGGCTGCCGCCTGGCGCTGTCCCTCAGCCTCGATCAGTGCGAACTGAGCTAGAAACCGCTGATGGTACTCGTCAATGGACTTGCCGGCCAGTCGGCCTGTCATGCCCAATGATGAACCCGTCATGGTGGCAGGGCTGACGTGGTACTGCTGCTGACGTGGCACTGCTAACGTGGCACTGCTGATGAGGCATTGCTGACGAGGCACTGCTGCTGATGTGGCACTGCTGCTGAAGGGGCACTGCTGTTGTCGTAGCACTGTTGACGTGGCACTTACCAACTGGGAATGCAGGCAAAGGGTTGGGTGGTAGGGGAGCGCAGGAAGGTAACCAACCAAACTGTACTTTCCTCCCGGTCCTAATCAACAAAAAAATAAAAAAAAATAAAAGAAGAGGATCCCCTTTCTTTTTTTTTTTTTTGAAAATCTGTCGATTTGATATCAGTGAGGCATTACGTAGGAGTGCTATGAGTGAGACCTAGGCAAGGTGTCGCAAAGCTTCGGCTTTCAAAAAAATTGCGATCCTGAAGATAATAAAAAATTTCGCGAGATAGAATGGAGATTCGATTTTCAGAAAAGAATAAATCCAGTTTCCAAGAATATGACAACCTCCACCGTCAACCTACTATGCCCAGAAAACGAAATGCTCAAAATCAGAAATTTCCTGATATTTGCTGCAAAAGAAAAAAAAATGAAAAACGAGATGCTAATATCAGAAAATTTCGGATATTTGACGCTAGAGAAAAAAAATTCCGAGAAAAAAAAAATATATATATATTTTTGCAGAGATTTAACTGGGTCCTACTTGATTCAATCAATCAAACAGTCAAACCATCAATCGTTCAATAACTCAAGCAGGCTCCTTGATTGGGCAGATCCTCTGATTGAGAGGTCTGCTCCGATACCAAACTGTCGCATACCGTAACGGTACAGACCAGGACATGAACCGACCTCTCTCACATAGTACGAGATAGCGCAGCGGCAGGCCAATATACCAATGATCAACCCAATCAATGTCCCAATGCAGACTAAACACACATCATCATCATCGCAAGGTGTGAAGGGCCTGGCGCTACACACAGGAAGAAATGCGCCAGGTCCAGACCATACACAGACAGAGGAGGGGATCAGACGAAGAAGAGGGGAAAGATGGGAATGTTGTCAACACCAAGTCTTTGGTACAGGTCCCAAATAGTCCCTCGTCAAAATGTCTCGATCCCAATGTCGAGTCTGGATCCAATTGTCGTCAAGTCTCAAAGTTGCAAATCTCTCTCTCTCTCTCTCTCTCTCTCTCTCTCTCTCTCTCTCTCTCTCTCTCTCTCGCTCGCTCGCTTGTAGTCTGTAGATACTGAGAAGTCAGATAGTGAGAGGGTGAGGGAGAGATGGTGGACTTAGAGGAGGAGGAAGAAGAACTCTCTCTCTGTCTCTCTTGTGCCAAGTACTGACCTGTGAAGGTGGCGCCTTGTTGCAGGTACATCGATATGAAGATGGAGCTATGGCGCCACAGGTAAGTCTCCCTGGCCTCCGCCCACGCTCTCTCTCTCTCTCCAACGCTACTCTAGCTCCTAATAGCGCCCAGCGCTGAAGACTACTCCTAAAGCTACTACTAGTACTGCAGCGCTCCTCCAGAGTGCTGCTGCCGAATCCTGAAGACTGCCTCCTGCCTCCTGCACGTGAAGTGCCCATGAACTGCCTCGGAAGTCCCTTGGCCTACCTGCAGCCTGCAGGGCGGGCCAGTTCTATATCGTGCTGGCCCGTCCAGGAGGCTGCTCTTGCCAATGCCAAACATGCCAGACCCTGGCGTTGAAGTTCAAACAAAGGTTGTCTTGAAAACAGACCCTGGTCTGGTGCCTAAGTTTCAGGGCAGGTCGATCTTATGAGGGCCTGAAAATGGCCCTCCGTTTCAGGCTGAAAAGACTCAAGGCCTAGAGAGCCCTGTTTTAGGCTAAAACGACACAGGGCCTGGAAGGCCCTGATTTTCCATCTGGTCGGGCCCTGCAGGCCCGTGTGGATGCGCAGTATGCCACACTCAGGGGCAGATCGAAATTATTTACCAAATTTAAGATACAAAATACAATTAAAACTGAGTGAGGACGCCGCCCGGCCGGGCCTGCCCTGCCGGGCTGGGCCCAGCCGGTTGGGCTCGGGGGGGCCCGCCCGGGTAAACCGGGCAGGACAAAAAACCGCCCAGAATTTTTTTTTTTTTTTTTTTTGAAACCGGGG